AACCTCACATGCTTTTTTTCCAACAAATTTTGGGGGTTTGGGGAATGGATTCTGCACTCTCAATGCATTTACATGTTTTTTTATTTCGATTCAGCAATTGAATGGACCCATAAAAATGTCTGAAAGTGCATGGAAACTTGGATGAAGACATATTGTATGCATTTAGTAAGAGCACCTCACTCTCAGTGGCCACTAATGATTTCTCCTTCATTTATTCTTTTTACATTAAGAAAAAAGATTTACCATCCCGAGTTATAACCATCTCTCAGCAGATAGGCCAGTTTGTATTTAACTTATTCATTTGAAATTCTTCTGTCTTAAGGGATCCTTGTGTGTGTCTGAATCCCATGCAAAGGGCAATTAAACTGCTGCATGAGTGACTTTAATAACAAACCACCAAATGCACCACAGAACCAACACATTGATAGGCTATAGTGCTATTCCCGAACATAGAAGGGAGTTTGAATCTGAATTCTTGGGTGAGCTTGGGGAAATGCATAGGTGTGAATAGAAATTTAATCTATGCAGAGAGATGTTACCATAAAATGGCAGACCCAGTGGAAACACAGTTATACAATGGTGGCGACACTGTGATTTGTCTAGCAGATTATATGTTAATATTACTGGTTGGAAGAGGATGTAGCTAGTTTTCCCTTTCTTTAATGTCACATGCTTGGAGAAAAGAAAAAATCAATACACTATATATAGTTCTTTGCAGATACATTGTATAAATTATTAGAAAATACACACACAAATATATTAATATATTTAATTATGCATAGCTTTGTTTGAGGCTGGATCATTTATATTACTTACAAATTTGGCACTAAAGTTGTATACATTGCAAAAATCAGGCGCTGCAGGAAATAAATAGACACACTGTCCTTGGCTGGTCTCCAGATCACAGCAGGGGTATATAAGCAGCTACTACCCAGTACTTGCCAGTAATATGCATAAAGGAAAACCACTTTTGCTCTGAACTGAAGACGATGGATCATTTGGCCTCAGGAGATGCTGTGTCCATAAAATCAACAAGCTTTATTTATGTTTAACAGCATGCAAAATGGAGGTGGCTCATACACCCAACAGGTTTCATGCTGCTCCCGGCAACTTTGTGGAAAGCAACACGAGATTTTATGCTCCCTAAAAAAAGCGGTACGCAGTCGCCCAGGTGTGTCAGCCGCCTCCCTGTTTCTTCCATGCTGTTCAAAGTAAATGAAACTTGTTAATTTTATGGACACACTGATTTGTGAGTTATTCTACAAACTGATCCAATATTTTCATAGCAAAAGAGGTTTTCCTTTATGTGTATTCTCAAATCTTAAGGAATTGAGAAGCAAGAAAAAAACAATTGCTTCCGCACGTGTCTTGACTTTGCTTAATAACTTGTAAAATATATTTTCTTATACAACAATTGCATGGCACCTTATACATATTTATTTTGTAACAAGCAGCAGCATGCAGGTTTACTGTGCAAGCTGAGGATAACATTTGCACTATACAGCACTGTCTTAAACAAGCTCACTCATCATGCTGCAAGTAATAGTAGACTACAACTTGATGTGAATTTCTAGCTTTTCTGCTAGATAGTTCATCGCAGAATCAAAGATCAGTGCTAAACAGCTGATTGTCCCTCTGTGTCTGTAGGCATCAAAAGTTTCTAGTTTCTGGAACATATGAGACATAGGGGCCCAAAATGGAGGAGTGACGGATGAATTAGATATGCCTAATGTTAAGCTGTAAAATTATTTATCTAGCAAGGTTATATCATTATATATCACTGTAGATTATTGCTGTTACTTTTAAGTGAAATTGAGCATTATTTAGTACATTAAGGTGAGCAATTTCAAGATGCGTATTAGTGGGTATATCTAAAAAAGACTGACCTTGTCAGTGCTGTGTTGTATTAAGCAAAATCTAATATTAGTCTACATACACAAGGCCTTGACTCACTGAATCCAGTCTAATTTGATTTACATTCGGAAATCTCCGTTTAGGTAGTGCTTATTACAGCATAATTGCTGCATGCTTCTACTAATGAGACCTCAGCCATGTTAATCACAAACTACATTATTTACATACTAGTTACACAAGATCCTAGTTCTGTACAATATTTTACTCTGAATAGACAACTGTATACAGTACATGAAAACAAATGACAGATTTCAGAATTACTCATGAGTTCATGCATTGTTATTGCACTTCATAACTAAAGGAACATGGAAGATTAATGCATTTGAAACTCTTGCTCTTGGCGGGTAGTAGATATTATTTTTTTGTAAAGTGCACCATAAACACACTTAAGTAATAGCTTTCTCAAGCCTAAATGCCCTCTGGAAAATGACTTATCAGATAAGCCCTATTTTTGTAATAAAAAGTAAAAACACATTTCATTATCTTGAAATGCTTTCTTTAAAACGTATGTTTAAATGTAAAAGATGGCCCATTGTAACGTTAGACGATTAGCCCCATTCTATTTGTCCATAATAGCACTTTTGTCTTAAAGGAGAACTATCAGATGAGTGATTTCCACTCACTCACATACCGGGTTCGCTCACCTCTCGATCCTGTCACGGCTCTCTGCCGTGACAGGGGGAGGGGCTGGATTCCCCTCTCCCCGCTCCGATCTGCCAGCGCTGACTGGCGGAACGGACGGGGGAGGGGGCGGGTACAGCTGGCTCTGCCTCTAGATAGGCAGAGCCAGCTGTCACTCACGCAGCTGGGCGGATCTCGACGTCCATGTCGGGATCCGCTCCGGCGTCTCAGTATACCACGAGCTGTAGCTCGCGGTATACTGAGCTTAGGGTAACGGGAGGACGCTAGTTTGTGTCCTCCCGTTACCCTAAGGATAACTATGGGGAAAAACACTGACCCCAAACTACTGGGGGTCCCCAGTTCTAATCCCAGTCAGTACACCATCTGCAAGGAGTTTGCATGTTCTCCCTGTGCTTGGATGGGTTTCTTCTGGGTACTTTGGTTTCCTGGCACACTCTAGAGATATTCTAGAAGGTTAATTAGCTCCTGTCTAATGTGAGATAGGTACCTTAGACTGTAAGCCTTTTAAGGGCAGGGACTGCTTTGAATGTGCGGTATGTAAAGAGCTGAGTAAATTGTTGGTGCTATATAAATACCTGCAATAAATAGATAAATAAAAATAACGTGTATATAATTTTTCTTTTTGTATATAATTTGCAGGTTGTAATTCTTTTTTTAAAGCTTCTTGTTCATATTTTGTAATTTTTCTTTAATCATTCTATTATTTAATTCACTTGCCTTCATCTAGTGGTCTAGGAGCCACATGTGGGAGCAAGGTACTTTGATGCTCTTTGTGCATGTCTCTTAGCAGATGCTTCGTACCACTCTGAATACCTGAAGCCCTTTGGAAATCTATTAGTCATGCAGCCAATTAATATTATTTCTTCTGTCATTCAGAATTTAGCATTATTATTGACCACATTTTAAATGTGGCCTTTGGTGTGGTTCTACCTGATTGTTAATTTGGCTGTAGCCCACAAGCTCAATTCAGTAAACTGGTATAGATATTGGATCTATAACTATTACCATAATTTCATCAGCAGTTTTTAAGTAATTCACTATGTCAAGTGACTGAACCTATATAGAAAATAAGTGATGGAATTTTGGAACTGATTTTGAGGAGAAAGCGGTTTTATCATTTTCTGGCCTATACTGGCCAGACTAGTGCTTTCTTGGCTTTCACCACAGTTGAGCTGAAGATGGATCGTATGGAGGACTAATTCTTAGGCTGGATTTACACTGTTCCTTGAACATGCATGGTAACGCACATATGTAGGTGTGAATAATCCCATAGAGTTGCCTTTTATCTTTTTATACTAAACTGCAACACATAGATATGAACCAGCCGCATATTAAAGAATGGGATTTCTAATTGACATGCATATGTATGCAAAGAATGCAAGAGTTTGAGGATTTGTTGTGTTATAAGGAATATTTAAAAGGGTTAGTTGTGCCTAAGCAGTACCCTAAAAAGTGTACCTTTTTGTCTTGATTTCCTCCTGAAAAATAGTAGTGCATTTCCTGGTATGTGAGTGTGCCCAGGTACTCCTGTACCTACAACCACATAGCTGTATATCTGCAGTCTAAGATACTAGGCCCTGCTCTCTCTCAATCTTTGTTTTACAAGATCTGAAGTGAGCTATGGTGATGTCACTACTGTGCTGCTCACTGTTCTTGCTGGGCTCTGACATAAGAAAGCGCCATCCTGCTTTTACCAAGATGGCTGCCTCCACACATAGATACAGAGCAGAACAAGGCATGGTAAGTCAGTAATGAGGGAAATATTAGCTGCAGAGGGACCACAGCCAATACTTGTGACTAGTCCTTTGCTCTCTGCCTCCCTTTTTTTTTTTTTACAAATTCCAGAGCTCAGTTCCTTTTTAACTCTATCTTCAGCTTAGTTATAGAACCCACAACTTTCTCCTCAGTAGGGATAACATCTCTTTACTTCCTGCACAGACTGGGCTTGTTTATGGCTCATTCACACCAGCAGCTGCGCTACAGTGCATGATCACTGTTGTGCACTGCCCGGCAAGTAACATATTATTAGGTTCTATGGGCACAGCGTGGTGCAAGGCAGTTGTGACATGTTGCACCCCGCTGTGCTGAAAAAAAGTACTGGTTGCTGTACGCTTTTTTTCAGATTAGACAAGTCTTGTGGGCAGGGGGAATATTCCCAATAGGGACATAACAGCAAAATCCTGATAGAGGTTCTTCCTGTTTTTGCTGGACCTGTACATTCCCTACTTCACCTCTTTTTCAGAGTTTAGCACTATTTGTTAGTTATAGTTGATTATTTTGCATTTTGCTGATGTATAATTTGAACCTTTTTTGGGGGGAAATGCAGTGTCACTTTGTTTTTTATCATTCCATTGCTCTTTTTACTTGTTTAGCAAAATATATCTACCATAGATTAATAAATAAATAAATAATACAGCTAATATATTTTACTTTACATAATTCAGCTAAGGTCTATGCCCATTCTGGGACTCTGATTTTCTTTCTTTTGCTGGTGTTTGCGGCTTAGTGTTGTACTTTAGGCAAAGGTCCCCCATATCGGACAGGCTTTCTTCCACAGCTTTGGCAAACATACTGGACAAAGTCTCTTTGCAGTCTCGGAAACTTGAAATACAGAAAAGGATGTCTTCAGGCTGAGGGTTATAGCAAGCACCATATCCATTGGGGACCACTGGGCCATAGCAGCAGAACATTTCCATTGTGGTGGGAACCTGGAAAGTAAGTGAAAAATATCCATTAGAGGTTAGGAGTACAGTGTCAAACCTTCAAAGCAATCGTTTTCATTAACACAAAACATTCTTACTAAGGAGCTGACTCTACATAGTGTTTAACATCTTTGATCAAATCCGAAAATTGAAAATGGTCTTTAGAGTCTGGAGTAAGCAAGTATTGACTTCAACATGTAATATCAGTGGCAGCTGTTAAAACATGTAGTAGTGCTCAGGAATAGTAAGGGCCAAATGATTTTTATACCAACAAACAAACATCTAAGGTGCATTTTATAGCTTTACCCAGTTGAAACTAAGTAAAGAGGTATTTTACATGCAGCTGTTCACTGGTTTGACAAAGCAACATATTTGCAAGTGACCAGTTTATTACAAACTTTCAGAACAAATCATAGCAGGCCCTGTCGTTATGAAAGGCTTTCCTTACTCCCCAGACATTAAAGTTCTGACTTCTAAGAGCTCTTTTCTCAATACTTCATTGATTCAAAGATTTAATTGGAGTTTGCTAAAACCATTTCCTCTGAGGATCCCTCAGTAGTTGGAGCAAAACTCTAACTTCATCCTAGAGGTTCTTTCCCCCTGTGTACCCATGTGTCCAATGAACATCTTCATGGTTTATTAGTGGAACTAGAAAGATGGGATAGTGTGGCCATACAAAGTCTACTTGCATGCACATGGTGTGTAATCCTGCTGACAATTTATAACGCCTAGACCTCACAGGTTTGGTTTTAAAGTCCCATACAGTATTTTTTTTTTTCTTAAAGGACAAAAAAGGAATAGGATATAAGCAATGTTACACTTATAGGTTTGATAATCATCCCATAAGCACAAATGTCACCCAAATCATTCTCTGTATTCATTTAAAGTTATGGGGAAAAGTATTTTTAATTTTAATTATTGTATTTATTTTATTTTTAAACTTATTCACACATTTTGTTCTTCATGGGTGGGTCTGATGTTGTTCCCTGCTTCAACAGGCCACATAACAATGATTTCTCACTTACACTGATCTACTGATTACATTAATCAGTTTCTACAGTGGTAGACATTGCAGTGCTTGGTCAGTTCTACCTTATTTAGGCCAGGTTCACATTTGGGCGATCCGTGACTACGCAACAATAGTACACGGTTACCAATCGCCCACCACTGCCGATTGCGTTCGCAGTGGCATTATTTTCGAATTATTTTCTAATGGCACCCCAGTCATGCCAGGCAGATCGTGCAGTTTCCCGCTGCGATTCCGCTTGTGCAATCACGCACGATCGCAGTTGAAAAAAAACGCACAGTGTGTGTTCCAAAAAAAGGTACATGTACCTTTTTTCAGCGATTGCCGTGTGGATGTAACCCCATTGAAATCAATGGGGCCATGCGGCAACCGCACACTGTCCTGGGTCACAGTCCTGGGACGCACGTCCCGAGATCTCACAAGTCTGCACCAGCCCTTAAAGATGGTCACAGGATCTTACCGGAAATCCTGATGCCACTGATGGTGTCATAAAATTTACTTCTTAACCTCAATGTGGAAATATTTTTCTCACTTTAAAATGGGACTTGCATGGTTTAAAAGAATAGCAATCTATACAATGTTTTACATTTAGCTGGATGTAGACATACACACATACACACACTATATTAGATTCACTATAAAAAATTAAATTCCACTTTACTTGGCGATAATAAGAGTATTTTAAACTCTATGATATTTAACAGAATAGGCGCAGAACAAAGGTTTTGTTTACACTCACTCGACAAGATGAATCACATTTACTAATGGAACTACTTAAGGGTTTTGGCAGTCTAGTGGTTTTAACAATATTCAAGACAAATAGGCACAGCTAGCATGATAATATATATTTGGGCTTTAGCAAAAAACCCATGATGCACTAAAACATATTAGGAAATCCAGATATAGACTGTTTTGGTGTTTTAAATGGTTATCATTTGGCCTGTTTACTGAAATTATGTACTAAGACATGTATTTTTAGCATTTTCTTTTTTTTTTATTCAGGAAGCTTTTAAAACTATATAAGAGTTTATGTACCCCCTTCCCCCTTTATACTGACAATGATACATTTCTTCTTGGCATCCAACAAGAGACGATGATAAAATGAAGACAATGTTAACATTGTATCTGACTTGTGCAGACTAAGCATATTAGGTTTATCTGATATTTAACCAAAGTACTCCTATGATAACCACTGCTGTAGGGTACTGGTGTATAAACTTTACAATTTGCTTTTTTGGGGGAAGGGGAGGAGGGAGTCAATCCTGATCTGTAAACTATATTGTCAATACCTGCCACATTTTTTATTACAGTGATAAGTTGCTAGGGAATTGAGTGATACATTATTTATTTTATGTTTGTTGCATTCTGTTGTGTTCTTTGTAAGTGATCAGTTTTGTGTGCACCATGTTAATCTTTAAACTGTTGCACATTTATCAACAAAACCATGTGCTTACCATGTCAGTGCTGGTTTGTTAATAAACAAAGCCATTCATCATCAACTCGGCACTGATGAAAAAATTGGTAATTTTGCTATGAAATAAAAAAGTGCAAACTTGGTTGACAAACGTGTGGATATGCCTAAAATATTGGTGGTTCCATGGGGCTTTACAAATCTGCCCCATTCCTCACAATTAGACCTTTAAGTAGAATATTGGCTATTTAAAACTCAGATTCTGCAATGATCTGCTGGGACTAAAAAAAACTACTCAAGCACTTCCTGTCTGAGTTAAGGTGCCCATACACTGCACGATTCTCATACGAGAATCGAGGGAAATCCCACGATCGTACGAGAATCGTGCAGTTTATGGAAGGCGTGCGACCGTTTCTACTGTACGATCGCACGTCTTCCGTCGAACCAGCAACTGCCGAAGTCATCTTAAGCCCGCCCCTCATTGCAGTCATCGTAAGCTAGCCCCTCAGGGGGGCGGGCTTTGGATGATCAAGAGTACGATCTGCCTGTCCAAGTTGGGCAGATCGTACGTTTTTCTCTCCCGTTATGTGACTTACCATACTACATTTGCATAGAACTATGTTGAAGTATGAAAATGTAAATGGCAGTGTAGCTGGGTGTACTATATGAAGGGAAAATATAGTATGCCAATACAATGTGAATATAATGTTTAATAAACTGCAGTAAGCAGGGTTCTGTTGAATACTTTGACTTTTTTGGTATATTAAATAAAGGACAACAATTATTAGTAAAGAAAAAGTAATTTTGCTTGCAAACATTTAGTATGAAAAATTCTTCAGAGCCTGTCCCATGCTAAGTTTTCTTTTGCTGCCTGTGTGTCCACTGTGGAGCTTCATCCTCCCTGTTTTTCCTGGGGACCATTGTCAGTAGCACAAACATTGAGTACAAATTCACCATTTTAAGGTTATTTCTGAACTAGTGGTGAGGGTAAATATTGTCACAGCTTTTCTGGTGATTGCCTCACTTTGCAGATATTTTTTCTCACTTCCTGTTATTTCTCTAGGAAAGTAAGTGAATGGAAACCTCCCTAATGAGACACAAACTATGTAAGCAACTTTGAAAACTGCATTGGCTAAAATTGGGCTTAGCCGATTCTACTTATCTGCTCCATTCTGGCACCATTCTGAGGAGAGGGGAATGGTGGAGGGTGGACCCAGACCTGTAATTGCTCTGCTATGCTACCCAGTCTATTATCTCTTACCTCATTTTCTCAGTAATACAGAAGTGGTGTTTACTGTTAACTTGCAAGATTTGATTTGTGCTGCACATTGCCAGTTTGTGATTGACAACCAGCAATGATCGTAGTACTTACAACCATAGGCACCCCCGCCTGGCTTCCTGATTGGATAGGAAGCCTGAGAACCCATGCTCCCCTCACAGCCTCCCAGGCACTGAGGACTGTGGATGTTATGTGAGGAATGTAAGTGACAGCTGCACTCTGTATCGCTGAGCTGGTCACAGCAAGATCTTTGTGATCTTTCTTCTGGCTCAGTGGCTAAAAACACGGTGCCCTCTGTTGCGGTTTCAGTGTTGAGCTTGGGGTGATTATGGTGTGCCCAGGCACACCCAACACACATCTTTGGTTACAGCTTCACACCATGAAGCTGGCTTTGACAGAGATTGCTGCTTAGATACTCCCACCAAATTACAGCATATTCAAAACATTACATATGTCTACAGATGATGTGGACATATAAACTGTTTAGAATATGCTGGGCACAGGGGCAGACTGACTACTCTGGCACTGCCCCAGGGCCCGCGGCCAGGAAAGGCCGTCACCGATCCCCCTGCTTTCCTTTCCAGCCCGCATGGAAAGAGAGGCAGCTGTGTACGCCATCTCTGTGCTCTTTTTGTCCATGCCACTGTCAAACTAGGACATAGGGCTGTGTTAAAGGGGGAATGGCAGTGTCCTTTGCCTCCAGGGCCCACCAGACACTGCTGTCAATGATTTCACACAGCCGCATCTACTAGTTTGGCAGCAGCGTGGCTGAAAAGAGCACAGAGATGGTGGGGGGTTTAAATCTGGGTGGGTGGGGTGTACAGCCCGAGTGCGGACTTGCCGTCGGTACAGCTGCACGAGAGCCCAAAGCTGGGAGCCCCACTGAGATCTGGTCCCCGGTCCTGGGCCCCCCACTGCCCCTGGTGAGACCTCCGCATCTGCCTTTGGTGAGACCTCCGCATCTGCCCTTGGTGAGACCTCCGCATCTGCCCTCGGTGAGACCTCCGTGTTTTCCCCTGGTGAGACCTTTGCGTCTGCCCCTGGTGAGACCTTTGCGTCTGCCCCTGGAGAGACCTTTGCGTCTGCCCCTGGTGAGACCTTTGCGTCTGCCCCTGTTGAGACCTTTGCGTCTGCCCCTAGTGACACCCTCCTCATCTGCCCTGCTGAAGTCTGCCCCTGGTGAGACCTTTGCGTCTGCCCCTGTTGAGACCTTTGCGTCTGCCCCTAGTGACACCCTCCTCATCTGCCCTGCTGAGACCCTCCTTTTCTGCACTTGGTGAGACCCTCCT